TCTCCCTACTGCCTTTCTTTTGGAGCTGGGATGCTTTTGGTGCTCATTACACAGCCATGAGTGTCACATACCACCTTTTTGTTGACAGGGCCTTTTCTGACTGAGCTCATGCCTCTCTATTTTATGGTGGGCAGTCCTGGGACAACAAGAGAAGAACTCTGGAAGAAATGGGATGAAGGGCATAAAGAACACAACAGGAAAAGTCCTGGGGAAAAAGAAAAAAAAAAAAAGAAATCTCCATCTCAGTTACTCTGCGGTGAAAAAGCCTTGTGAAGCTGGAGTAAGTATTTTCTGCTAAATTAACCAGATGTTACCAGCAGGATCTCTCTGGGAACAGCAGTGCTGCTGCCAGCAGAGCAACACACAAGGCAAGGAGCATCAGGCACCGGGCAGCCCGCCCGGCCCTGGGCAGCACACAGCACAGCTCAAAGGCGGTCACAGCACTAAAAGTAGGGCAGGCCAAACGGGAAATAAAGGAACCTCTGTCTCCTTGACAAAACACATATTTGCTCACCCACACCTTTGAAAAATCACTGCTTTTTATTAAGGATTTCTCTACACCCACTGAAAGGAAGAAAAGACAACACTTCAATTTCTAAGGTCACTTTCCTTGTTCTTTTTCCTCCCATTATTTTTTTTTTACCCAAGGCAGTAAAACATCCTCCTATCATTTCACTATGAAATTATGACAACCATTATCTGCTTACAGCGGAGAAGGGTGGTGGGGCCACACTCACCCTGCCACGGAGAAGCACATCTGCTCTGAATATGACAAGAGGAGTGGTGGCTGTTCTGATCCCTCTCCATCACAAGTCACATCCATGAGGTCTTGGAGACACAGTTAAAAGCCGCCAAAGCAGTGCAGAGCTGTTGCAATGCACACATTGCTGGAAGCCTTTTTTCAATTCAGTTCCAAGTTTGTAATATTTAAATTACTTGAATTACTTGGTAGGCTTTTCCTGAGCAAGAGTTGACATTGGTTTAATGGCTGAAATTACATCAATGAAAGAAAAAACACACAAAGAAACTTGCCAGATGAAGGAATTTCATCTCTGCTACCATACCCCGCAATTTCTTTTCCTGTGAAGGGAAGCTCCTCTAATCTAAGAGTCACCTTTTGGCAAAGTACCCTAGAGTATTTTTAACAACTATGACTTAAAATAATTTCATTTCCACGGGCAAAGAAAATAATTTGCTTTGAATCTCCGAGTACAGAACTGGTAGAACTCAGAATTGCCAATAAATGTGCAGAAGACGCCCTGCCTCCATTCGTGGGAACACAAAAAGCGTCATCATGAAGAGGAGGGTAGCAATTAGGACTGGTACAGGAACTGAGAAAGCCAGAAACATACCAAATATTAGCAGTTTTACACATCATCCATTCCTACTGCCCCAAATGTCTGCTGCCAAATGCTGCTGGGGCTCTGATTCTGCCCTCCGAATCACACCAGACCTTCCTGGTACAATGCACCCAAAGAGACCTTTGTGTGAGGGTACTGTAACAACCAGAACACAAAACACTTAACAACTAAACAGCTTCATCATACTGTATTACAAACTAGATTCACTTCGGAGAACAGTAAGTGTATATTGATTGGCAAAATTTGGCCCACTCTCATTCTTAATAATTGCAATTTACTTCAGAAACAGATCTACTTACTTTGCTTTTCTAGCTCAGTAATTTTTCTTGTTCTCTCTTCAACACTTTAGCAAAATTATGCCCAACTCACTGTCTTCCATCTTCAAGGCAATTGTTAGTAGTAAACTCTTTTAAATCATCCAGCAAATGGGAATGAGCGTCAGTCAACATCTATTTTCTCTGAAACACAAAGCCCCTCTTTCCATATCAAACATTTACCAAACCTACTCTTGCAATCCATTAGTCTTCAACTCCAATTTTATTTTATTTTTTTCCTAATCACCTGAGTAAAGATCCCACAAACAATTTCAGACTGCCACCTGATGTGGCTCTCACTGCAACAGTTTAGTTGGCTCCAGCAGTCTCAAAATGCCCCCTACAGAGTTTATTGCTGGTTGTTAATCTTTAAGACAGCTTTATGTTCTTTGTTAACAACTTATTTCTCTAAAGATGAAAAGAACACTGTCACAATCACAGGTTTTGTAGGCATGTAACATCAGAACGTTTGAAAATGAGGACAGAAGTTTGCTTCTGAGATCCAACAAGGATTACATCTTTCTCAAATTCTATATGGAAACAAGTTCCATATCCTCTCCCTCATCTATATTGCCTGGATAATACATATTTCCAATTCAAAACAAGCAGAAAAAAAACACCAATATGGGCACTACCAACCATCATTCCAGCAGATGCTGGAAGATACCAGTCTGAGCAATTTGCATGCTTTCCAACCTCCTTTCTGCCTCTAAATTGCAGCATAATGTAGGTCATTTTTAATGAGGGGTCTTGCATGCAGCTTCCCCCACGCACTACACAGCAATCAGACACTTCTGAGTTCACGTTCTCCCTGCATCATTGCTGTATTTTGTCATTTTTCAACAGGTTTGGCTTTTGCCCACAAAGCTGCGGACTCTCACACAGCAAAGTCTCTTGGCTGCCTCATTAACTCCAGATCGGTGTGTGCTCTTGCATTTTACTGTACCATTTCCTTCAGCATTCATTATGCTGCAAACAGCCTCTGGCGAGAAACTTCTTAAAACATCATGATGAAATTGTTTTCTAGACAACATAGAAGTCAATTATAATGCAATTAAAAGATAGGCTAATCTATTCCTTTGTTTGGCAACGGTATCTCAGTTAACATCATGGAGTGCAAGTGTTTATGGTATCTATGAAATCATTTGCTATAAATTGTTTTCTACTGTCCACAGCACCTCTTTTTTGTAGAAGATGTAGGAATTATAAAACCTGTTGTCTTCCAGGCTTGGAAATGGAGTGAAATTAAAGCGGTTTGCACCGGGCACAGCCTGCCAGGCTGGCAGCAAGCTGCCCCAGCCTCTGAGGGGTGCTCAGCCTGCACTGAGCTGGCTGTGCAACCTGCCTTGCATTCTGCATGGCAGCAAGGCCAGCAGGCTTTAGCAGCCCTGTGTTGTTCTGCATTCTGGATTTAAATGACATTTCTCTGCAAGTCAGCGTGCATCACATGTGCATCTAAAACTGCTAGAACAGGCGCTTTGCATCCAAGGACGGTGAGCTGTTGGAATTGCATCCTTCATCCACACCTTCCCTGTAGGCCCAATCACTTATTTCCCTTGAGCTTCAGCTTTCTGTCATTAAAAGAGGGATAATTTTGCCTGCAGCAATGCTAATCTGCCTGATACTTGCCAACACACGAAGACTATTCTAATAAGTGACATGTAAGCAGGACAGAGACAACCAGTGCTGCCTTTACTCTTCCTCACAGACGTACTGGGCTTCACTTTGGGAGAGGAAAGTAGGTCACTACAATAAGCAGCAGTTGTGTGAGGGAGAAGAGGAACTTTTATCGTTAACTGGGTACAAACACCCTTCTTTTTCCACATCAGCACTCTCAAATGGACAGGCTGGGAAATGGGACTCTCCAGAGGCGAGTGTGCAGGCAGCATTTCTTCTCAACCTGCTCCTTAATCAGCACGGGTTCAATACAAGAGGAATAATTCATGTGATGAGCAATTGATCCTTGCTGGGGAAGCCCTAGGGGAAAATTTTAATTCTAGGGCACGCTCAAACAAGGGGCTGTTTCCTTTTGGATAATGCCTTTTGGACAGATGAAGGGGTTCTGAAACCCATCCAGTCTGCAGCCCTGGGCAGGATGCTCCAGCTGAAGGCACATGGCTTCCCCCTCCACACACAGTAATTACTGGCTTCTCATTAATCGCTCATAACGCATGTGTGCACACCCACAAACCACACAGGCCACAGGATGTGGCACCAGCCCAGCTGCTGCAGCCTGGAGGTGAGCATACCAGCATGAACAGCATAACGATGGCCATGCATTAGTGCTCTACCGATGTCAGCGAACATCACCATCAATTTAAACAGGTGCTTTGGCTGATTTATAAGCCACTATATAACCAAATACAGCACAGAGGGTGTTTGGAAAAACAAACATTTTAAATAAATAAGAGTGACAAATATAAACGGATTATTAAGGGATGATTTCTGAGGTAGCTCTCTCCCAGAACAGTAATATTTCAACACCCTCATGTAAGCAGGAACATGGGTAAACAGGCTGTAAATTTGTCTTCTTATTCTACATTTTGCACTCCTGCAAAAAATAACTAATGATTTTTGTGCAAGATTGGAACGTTTTAACTAACACATCTGTAGACTGCTAGGGAAAAGCAGTCACCTCACAAGTTAAACTGGGGGAGACAAATTGAAAAAAGAAGGCATTAAAGGTATTAGAGCAGTTGTCAATTCAAGTGATGAAGATTTTTGCAGGAAATACATCAGAACACTGTTCAGGGAAGTAAAACAAAGTCAGGAAAAAAAAAAAACCATGAGTGGGGAAAACATCTTCATGCCTAATTTGTCACTCAACGCTGATGAACTCCAGTAGACAAGCTGTAGAAAATTAAGTGCTAACCTGTAAACATTTCAACCATGCAAAATGGAATATGTACTTGGCATTTAAATCAAAAGCCCTAGTCTGCATGTATCTATCTCCTTGCTCTCCTTAAAAAGAATGTTTTTTCACCAAAGAGACCTCAGTGTTATCTACCTAGCACAGGAGGTGGGTTTAAGCACTGTGCTACAGACTACGCGTTGGCAGTTTAAGCCCTTGGCACATTAAGACCATGAAGTCAAACTAATTGGAGATAAAATCCTGTCTGGGTCTGTTCATTTGGGAAAAATAACTTTTAAGTCACTGTCTTTTCAATTGTCACTACAAGTGTCCACAATAGATTATATACAGAAAAAGCAAGTATTTATCAATTTACGTGTTCAACGCAGCTCATCTACATCTACTGCCAGCCAGGGCTGACAGCCATGATGCTCTCCACACAGAAAACACACTGGGATACCATCAACCTCCTACCTTGGCTCCATCCACACTGATAATCCGATAGCTGTTTCTCGTGCTGTCATAGAAGTAGGAAACAGTTACAGCCTGCTTGCTTGCGGGGACCCAGTTCTTCTTCGTGCTGGGGTCAATTTGGAAGACATGGGCTCTGGTGGTGAAGATGGGCTGTTCTCTAGAATAGGGAGGGACAGGAGAAATGGATGCATGAGTCTGCAGAAGATGAAATGTCCCAGAAGCCCAGACTTGACCAGGCAGCACAAAGCTAACTTTTCTTCCTTGTGTTATGATGACTTTGTAACCCAAATTTTCCTCAAAATACCAATCTCCAGGAAGGGATGCTCATGTGTGCTCACTCTTCCCACATCCACACATTCTGCCAAAAGCACCAACAAACCCCACACAGCTGGCTCTCCTGCTCACTGCTGTGAGCCTGCTTGGGGCCAGGACTGCTCTGCAGAGGTGCTAACAATGCTAGCAAAGCAAAGGCACAGCATAATTACTGGAATATTAAAGTCCCTATCATTAAAACTGCACTACTCCGTGGGCAGTTAATCAGCATGAGCAGTAAGGGGGAAATGAAATGGGTCCCAGGCCCCATGCTGCCTGCCAGCACACGACTGCATCGGGTGAGCTGTGGCCTCCCTCATCCCAGCCCTATGCACCATGAGGAACACCTCGTACCTGGTGTTTTCTGCCCTACACACAGGCAACCCAAACCACAAGCAACAGCAGAGCGGATGCAGGGCTGAAAGGACAAGGCACAATACACATCAAGGCTTCTAGAGCACAATTAACATCACTTACAGGTGGCAAAAGTCAATTATTTTCAAGTCATACTTTTAAACCAAGTTTAGAAGTGAACTGCAAATCAAGATATGCTGTTTATATAAATACATATATTAAATAACTATATATATTCATGCTTTTTGTTCTTAAAAGCTACAGCTTATAATGGTATATATTGAGTGCACTTAATTAAGTTCAGCACGTTCTCAGTACATACAAAATGTTTTATCTTTGATAGTTGAACTTGACAGAATTCTGACAGTATTCAAAAGCAATTGTATTACAACAGAGTCCACCACTGTTAACTCCCCCAAACATTTATCTCATCCACACACAAAGCAAATGAAGGCAGATATGTGAAAGGCCAGAGACATCTCTTCACACCTTACTCTTTCCCACCCATACAAATAAATCTCTTAAATTATTCTCAGTCCTGTCATTTTGGAACTATGTTTTTATTCAATTTTTTTCAGCTGCTTTTAAATCCACCTCTTTTTAAAACACAAAAACTTCAGGTCCCGCATGTAGGAACAGTACAAACCATCACACACATTCTCAATCATTACACTTGAATTAAAATTGAGGGGAGTAGCTCAAACACTGTGTGATCTTGCAAAGCCCTACAAGGCCCTCAGAAGGGAGAAAATGACATGATTTTTTTTCCTTGCAAGACATATGTAAGGTTTGACGTTTTCCAGGGGCTGCCATGCATGTTCCTGAATAGACAGCACGCTGAACTGCGTGAAATACTTCAGCAAAATCAATTTACATTACAAAGGGACTGCTATGTTACAACTATGGAGGAACAGCACATACAGCACCTCTTCTTCACCAGCCGCAATGGGAATCTGCCTCCCATTTCCAACGCTACCATCACTGCCTCCCTGCCTGGGAGGAAAGCAGGGCAGAGCTCTGTAATACTTTTTTAAGACTTCCATCACACGTTATATGGATTAGCAGTATTACGTCCTTGGAGGCCATGGGTCTGTTTGCAATAAGGAATGCAGGGAAGGGAGGTTTCCCCCAAGTGATTTATTCCTTTACTCTAAAAATATACACGTCCCCTGAGTAGAGGGTAATTTAGAATTTTGCCTTCTACTTAGCTGTATATTTTTAGCAGATTCTATTGTTTTTACTGCTAGTAATATGACCTATATATCACAGCCTGAACTTTAAGGAGTTTCGGACTTTTCCTTCATAAAAACCCGACCCACAAGCAACTTTATAACACATTTCTGTTAAGGCACCTTAACAGTACCAGAAAACACTGCTAAAATGCTGCCCGGCCTCACTGCAGCAGCAACCATACAAAGTAAATGTGGAGATATCCAGAAGCTACAAGGCTAACTTGGCTCTTGTTTGGTGCACGAGCCCCTGTAACTTGGTGGCAATGGGAACATGCAGGCAAGGAGAGCAGCTCTGCCAGGCAGCTGAGATGAGAGACATAAATCAAGAGACAAAGAGAACTTAGGAATGTTTAAAACTCTCATGAATTTTAAACAAAATTGTTAATGACTGATTAAATACATTTCTTTTTAAAGGAAAAAAAAAACTTTAAAAAATCAACTTGACATTAACATCCACCATTTAGAGTAAAGCAGCCTGAAATCTAGCAAATGGAGGTCTAAATTATAGCCAATGATTCTTTGTTTAATAATGCAGATTAAAATAGAGAATGCACTTTGATAAACTGTACTATTAAAGGTGGCCAGCACGTTCTATAAACATGATTACAATTTTCAAACCATGTTTTTATCTATTTTAGTTGACTTTTAACATCTGTCTCTGTGCCATGTGAAACAAATCTCATGTAAAAAGCAATAGTTCCCCATTATCTAAGAAATATGCTGCTAATCTCTTCATAGGCATTATAAAAGCAAAAGAATGAAGGCTCTAGAGCTCAGTAGCTGCATCCATAGCAGTGCAAGGTGCAGTGCTCCTTTACAGCTGATAAATAATCACACAAATTCTACGAGTGTGTGTCTTTAAAACGCATCTGGTGCGGGATGCATGTGCCTCCAGTCCATGCAGCAGAGCAGTTTTTGGAATGTGATGCTTCCTGCTACAGGCCACCTTCTGCACATGCTGAGATTTACACTGCCTGACAGCTGCAACAGATCTGCAGTGATGTGCTCTAACAAACATTAGATGAGGATCTTTTCAGAAGGAACAGTCAGCATGCACATAAGATCCTATATCGTGACATACATACTCTGCATCACTGCAACACAATGCAAAAACACATATTTGCTAAATCCAGCACAATAAGCATTGTGCCAACGGTAATTTGGATCAAGCATCACTATTATTGCCTTTATGACAGTGTAATAAAATGAACTAATCTCTTATATATGTATATATTTACACAGAGTATAATTTGGAGTGCCACACGTGGTAAATTAATGACAATGCAAAAATGGGCAACATTGCTAAAATAAAGAGTTCTTTTCTCCATGGTCCCCATCCGGGCCCTGTGGGACGAGGACAGCAAAGCCGCCAGGAAATGCTGGTGCTCCAGCTTCTTAAAAATGGGTAGTATGGATGAGAATGAATCTAGAGGGCAAGGTGCATGAGGAGCTGCTGATGGCACTTGGTTTGTTCAGCTCAGAGAAGAGGCCTCATGGTGGCCTACATCTCCTCATCAGGGAAAGGCACTGAGCAGCGTCACACGAGGGTCAGATTCTTCACTGAGAAGGTGGGGCTGTTTTCACACCTCTGCAAGACTCAGTTGTCCAAATCTAACCAGAGCTGCCCATGCAAAGCAGCTGGGATTTTCAAGCATGCATTGTCACCACCAGGTAGCACAGCATGGAGCAGAGCAGAGGCAAAAGCTAAGTGTGGATGTTTTGCAGATGTGATGGCAGCAAACCAGCATTACAAAAGCAGGCAGCTCTCTACCCTCCCAAATTGGCATGTGCTAATTAATTCAGGTCAGTCAAATTTCATCAGATGCAACACGGAAGGCCGGGCACTGGCTGCCAGCACTCATAGCCATCAGAAGCACAGAGCCTGCTCTGACTTGCAAGACTGCAAAATCGGTATCACAGAGCAGGCAGGTGGTAATGGCTCCATTTTACATCTGAGGAAGCAGCCATAAAGAAAGAGATGGCATCCTGGGATAAACGGAGCCAGTAGCAAGCCTGGAAATAAAATTAATTTGCCTCATTTCCCATCTGCAGCTTCACTACTGCTAACATCACAGGGCAGTTTGATAGCAGATCTCCCACTCTGGGAAATTTTTCATCACATGACTGGAAAAGCCTAACTCAACAGATGAATATTCACTGCTCAACAGAAGCGATTATTGTAAAAATTAGCAATCGCAGCAGACCTGAGGGATGCTGACAGAGGTTTCAACTCCTGCACAAACCACATCTGCCTGGCACTCTGCAACAGGAGGTGGTCTTGCAGAGTCTTGGAGGTGGTCTTGCACCTGGTCAGCTCCTGTTGGTCCTGAAATGGGAGCAGGCCTTCTCACACAGCTACTGCCACAGCGAAAATTACTTGCAAGGACAGAGAAGCAACTCTGAGCAAAACAGGGCAGGCAGAAAAAGGGAAGAGAAGATATCTGCTGTGTGCAGCAGATGGGTGACCAGGCCCAGAGAGACAGGTGGGATGAACAGGGCACAGCTGCACCCAGGCTTTGCTCTGCTGTTACATCCCTGCTGCAGCAGTGCTAACTGAGGGGGAGGTCATGCAACTTGTTCAAATGGCCACTGGCATGATTCTTCATTGCTCACTTTGTACTACTTTCAGTATCAGCTCACCTGCAGAAATGTATTACATTCATGAAAAAGAAAGACATCTTTTTAGCTTCCATCTTTTAAAGTCATTATTATTTCAACAGACAATGTAATCAGCAAAAGTGCTTCTTACATTTGTAGGAAACATAATAGTTCCAGTTACTTAGACCAAAAAAAAAAAAAAAAAGAAAAAGAAAAAAGACCAGCTAGCTAAAGAGAAATTTTCTGTCAAAAGCACAGATATTAATTAATCTCATTTTTGATTAGCAGCTGAGTAAGTCCAAAAGAATAAGTCTTCAGGACAAAAGCTCTCAGTGCAAAAATCACTGCAGCGTCTGGAAGAGCTCACAATAGCAATAAGCCTTTATGAAGGCAATACATTAATGAAAAGGCTTAAGGTGGACAGTGAAAAAGCTCACGCTTTACTTATGGGCTATCAGTTATTTGTCTTCTGAGACACTCAGTGAATAAACACACACAAGAGGCAGAAGCTGAAAGGACCCTGAACTATTCCACTATAGGTAAGATTGTTCTAAAAATAAAATTAAAACTAAAAATCACACAAAAAATCCCAAGTATAGGTATGTATGTGAAACTGGTCGTTACTCTTCTTATTTCAGAGATTCTTCCTGAGAAGGCACTG